TTCAGTATTTTGAGAAATACCGTGGGAAAAAAAAGTAGGCATGAGGCAAATAAAAATATATAATCTTTAAAAATAATAGCCCGCATAATTTCTACTAAAATTTTTATTTTTACCATTTTGTCTGAGCTCAAAAGGGGTGTTTAAACCCCTAAACCCCTCCCTTGCGTACGCCCCTGCTATTTAATAATTACTGCACCAAGCTAGAAGAATATTATTTGAGATGTTTAAAGATATGTTACGTCATTAGTTAGGGGTGGAGTTAAACTCTTCAGTCCTCTCAGTTTTATATGGATATCTATTTTTAGATACGCTTGCCCAAGTTACTGATTGGTTGCTACTTCCAGTGGATAAACTTTTATTTTTATAAAGCATGGACAATTACACCCTTTTTTTATAATTTCAATGCATTTAGAATCCTTCAAAGCCACCAGAAAGCATTTTAATACTTTTCTAAAAGTGCTACTTATAAGTTATTTCTAAGCAAAAAACACTAACTTTCGTTTTCATCTGTCACGTGATTCACGAACCGACGTCATTCGTCTCCATCGGCCGTTTCTTTGCAATTGCAGGAATTAAATCAAACAATTTTAGAAGGTAAATAACTATGTGAGAACAAAGATATTTTTAATAAATTGTGTCCTAATGTAGCTCAATAATAATAATGTAGCTAATAATGATAAAGTAAATAATAATTTATAAGATACTCATTGGAATTGAGGATCTGAATATTAAGGATTTTTTAAGTTCAGTAATAACTTAATTGTGTCCTTATGTAGTGTGTCCTTATGTTCTTAATTGTGTCCAATAAATTGTGTCCTAATGTAGCTTAATAATAATAATGTAGCTAATAACAATAAAATAAATAATCATTTATAAGGTACTCATTGAAACATCGGAATTGAGGATCTGAATATTAAGGATTTTTTAAGTTCAGTAATAACTTAATTGTGTCCTTATGTAGTGTGTCCTTATGTTCTTAATTGTGTCCAATAAATTGTGTCCTAATGTAGCTTAATAATAATAATGTAGCTAATAATAATAAAATGAATAATAATTTATAAGGTACTCATTGAAACATCGGAATTGAGGATTTGAATATTAAGGATTTTTTAAGTTCAGTAAAAAAAGGGGTTAGAATGCGTTATGGATGACTGATATTACTTAGTAAAATTATATGTCATAAATGCAAACTAATTTTGTTCTTAAATTTTTTTAATCATGTTAATCTTAGTTTTACGGTAAAATTCTAATTATTTTCATGTGAAGTGAGGAAAAAAAAATGTAGAATAAATATTTTATATTGAATAGCTTCAGATTTTAAAAATGTCGAAAAGCTCTAGTTATTGATTTTATTTATTTTTTTTATTCTTGCTTGAATTTAATCAGGGGTCTGTTTAGAAGAAATTTGAGTCCGTTAACGGGCCAGGGAGGAGGGGGGGGGAAGACAGACATAAACGAACTAAATTTTGTCTTCGGCAGACGCTGTTTCCTTTATTCGTCCGAATTGAACATTCTGCGTTCAGCAGTATAGGCTAAATACCAAATATTTGTATGTTGCATCTCTAATTTAGTAGCAGCGATTGCTGTTTATTTTTTAAAATTTAATTTTTTAAATTATAATTTAACAGTGTTGAGCCTAATCTTGTATGCCTTGACAATTTAAAAACTCATTGAAAAAGTTTTTTGAAAAATAACAGGACCCTATTTGCACTAATTCACAAAAGCAGGACCCTGGTTGAAAGAATTACATTCACAAATTACGACTAATTTTTTCACAATTTTGCAAAAACGGACCTTTCACGAAATGTCTGGACAGACTCCTGATTTAATGCAAGGAATTATCTCCAGCATAGCAGAAGCCTTTAAAAAAATCATGATCCCATCACCACTTTTAATTCATTCTTTATAAAAAAAACTAAGTTAAAGGAAAAAGAATGAAATACATTCTAGAAGATTTTTTTTAAAACTTTATTTTAATTGTGTTAAAATGTGTTATAAGAGTATCAAGCATATGCATTTATTTAGTTTTACATTAGAGAAACAGGAATTAAATTTTATAAATAGACATCGAAATAATTTTTCACCGTAGCAAAATTCCTGTTTACTCAAAGAATAAAAATGGAAAGAAATGATATTTACATTACTTCTTAGCTAACTATTTGATAAATAAAAAAAATGTAGATTAGAATTTCTTTTCATTTTGCATAAGTTTTTTTTAATTCTTTAGCTTTTTTGAAACAAAACCATCTAGCTTAATAATACTCACTGAAATTATGTGACCAAATTAAAATAAATTTATTGAAATTTTAAGTATAAGCACAGACTGATGTCTGAAGATTCATTTTCGGCGAAAGCTTAACCTGAGATTTTTTTCCACCTATTTTAATTAAATTATTTTTAATTAAAAATGTGCAATACATTAATTTTACTATTTTATAATTCTTCTTTGCGGGCACTAGCAAATAGCTTGCAGAAATATGGAGAAAAATTAACAGTAAACGTTGAATTTACTACCGTTTAGCGGTACCTTCACAAATTCAATTTTAGGAAAAACGGTAGTTTCACAAATTCAACTTTAGGAAAAACGTTAGTTTCACAAAGTACTTTTTCTTAAAATTTTATTTTTCTATCCTTAAGAAACGATAAATCTATATTTTTAATATGTTTTTGTGTTGATTTTTTAATATCATTTTTAATTTTTCACATATTATGTCTAAATTTTCACAAAATAGGTACCTCTCAGTAAAACCTAGACAGACCCCTGAATAACCATATTTGGTAAATACTATATTGCAGAAAGATGAATTAAAAATTTAAAAGTAATTTTTTGACTATAGCGAAATTCTTATTTACTTAAAAGAATAATATTGAGAATGCATATGAGCATTAATAAGTATTTGAATATTTAATACATAGTAAAAAAAAGAAGAAATAAACTGTATTAGTAAAAATTTACTTAAAAAGAAAAACATTAAACTCTAGTAAAAAAAAAGGAAGAAAAAAAAAGGCAAAATTATATTACATTAATATTTAGAACATTGTAACGATGATGGATAGATATTTTTTAATGAACTTGATTTATAAAAAAATTTTTAATACCAATAATGAAATCGTCCACCCTTTATATAAATGTATACTATTTCTATCCAATATGCGATTAATTTCAATTAAGTAATTAGGCTTTAATTGAACATGTTACTTAAACTTAAAAATAAGTGTAATAAAATAACATTTTCTGATATGCGTAATTTTTGGAGCAATATTTACTAAATCACTGTAATTAAATAAACATTACTGCAAAGAATTTGACAGTGAAAATGAATTTGCTGCAAAGGCTTCAGTGGCTTTTTATTGCAGGGATAGAAATTAAGAAAATTTAGTCACTGATCCAAAGGACTAATAACTAAAAAATAATGTTAGTCCGTTTACATTTTCAACTACCTTTGTTGCATTGCTACCACAAAAACCTCTCACGGAAAGCCTGACGGCAAGGGGACTCTTACCCATGATCCATCTACCACTGAGGATATTTAACGTCACCACTGTGATCTGTGCAAGCCGGATGTGGAATTCGAACCCGGAACACATCATTAGAAGGCGAACGCTCTATCCCCTGAGCCATCGCGGCTCAAGAATAATCGTTATTAAATTAATATTAATTGATGTGCAAAAAATCTAAAAAAAAAAAGTGCCAAGTTGATAAGAGAGTACCAGGACGAATTTTCTTTTCAACGTGGCGCTTGGCTAAATTCAGGGTTCGTGATTTTTTTTTGATTTAAAAAAAAAAAGAAAAAAAATCATATTTTTATTTTTATTTAAATTGGATTTTTTTTATTTAAATCAGATCTAACACTGTAAGAACTTTGATTTATGATTAGAAAAACTTCATAAATGTTTAATCAAAATTAAATATTAAAACTATATTTTAACAATATTGTAGAAGCTCTAACTACCCAAAAACTGTTTTCTTTACAATACATAGCTTTGAATGCATAGCAACCATTTTGAAACAAATGCATGATTCAAATTTAAAGACTAGATGAAATAGAGAATTTAAATCCAATTTATGCATATTAGGGTAATTTCTTTTCAAGATAAACTCAAGCTTCAAAAATATAGATTTGACACCAGTAAAATATAATGTAGATTTTAATTCCATGCCTTTTCAATTAAAAGGTAGAATTTTAATTAACATTCTTTTTTTTGTTAAAAAAATTCATGTTTATTAATTATTTTCTACAGCTATGCAAGTCTCCATTAAGACAGCAGTAAATGTTTACTTTAATCTGTACTTTTAATCTCAAGAATCAAAAGATTTTTAAAAATGTAATTCCAAATGTGTTGGAATTTAACACACACCAAGAAAGAAAGAAAGAAATTTCGTTAACTAAAATTAATTAATAGAGCAATTTAATTAAAATAAATTTCAAAATTGAGAAAAGAAAATAATAAAAGTATCAATAATTTAAAACACTTTTTAAAACATTTTTTTAAATCAATATATATTTACAAAAAAAATCAGTTGATTTAAAACAATGATTTTTAAAAAGAAATCATTTGGTTTAAATCAAGTTGATTTAAATCAACAAACTCTGGCTAAATTACGGCGGTTTTTTATTGCAAAAAGTTGAATAATTCAATTCGCCGACGACAGAATTATCATGGAATCAATAATTTCTGAAGAATAAATTTTTCAATGGATCTGCTGTTACAATTTTTCAATGAGCAATTATGTACTAAAAGTGTGTTTCTCAATATTTATAGTTCTTTTCAAACAATTTTAGCCAAATAACAAGTAATTTTAAAACGGTGTTAAAAAAGTGATAGCCCAACAGACATGCGGACCTAATATTTTTTTAATAAGTTATAATATCTTTTATGATAGTTATAATTTTACCACTTTCGATGCACTTGATTTTATTTTTCTATGTATTTTGTAGATTGGTTTCCCCGTTTGTTTATCATTATTATTTTATTTATTTATTTATTTTGTATTTTAGAATGTGGGAATTCAAGCACAGCTGTTTCAGGGCTGATAGGGAAGATCTGTTGTGCTATGTCAAAAGGAGTAGCCAAAAAGTGGTAAGCATTAAAAGAATTATTGTTATTTACGCATTTTTACGTTGGCTCTTCCATAGCAGCAAGACAACTTTGGCCCGCATCGGGCCAATATTCATGAATCTAGGCTCAGTAAGGGTTCAAAGGACCTTTATTTTTCCGATATTGGCCATATGTAGAATTTTACGATTCACTAGAACCAGATATGTTACAGCCACTTTACAACCAATATCGGTCCTATATAGAATTGTCAGATTCACGTGATATTTTATACCCATTTAGCCAATTTACGTTCTATATTGGCCAATGTAGGTCCTATATAGGCCATTCTAGGACCAATATTAGTCCTTCAGTGCATGTTCTTTTGGACCCGTGTCGAGTCAATTTTGAACCCAACTGGATACTACAGTAAGATAGCCTTATAAAACAAAATCCCTTTATTTACGCTTTTAGCTCACTTTGTTTTTCTGTTTTCATATTTCGTAATCTGGCAATTGTATTAAAAAAATATTTTAAATCATTTCCGAAAGTTTCTCATCCATGTAAGTTCATTTGAATTCGCTACTCGCTTTATAGATTTCGTTTTGTGTCTTGTTCTGTTTTTTCTTTACATTTTATTTTATGTTTTTTACGTGATTTTTATTACTTGATGTGTTCTATTTTATTTCAAAATTTTTTTTCAGTGCTCTTTACTCTATTGTATTGATAACTTTTGCTTAGCTATATTTATACAATATTAGAAAGCACTCCTTTTTGTGGATACAATCGTATGAGCTGAAGAAGAGATTCTATCCCCCCCCCGTATTTTTATTATATTTTTATTTTTTCAATGTTATTTTACTTTAATTTTCTTTTTATCTTCTCATTAGTCTGAAATTTTTTCCATGTTTTCTTTATATTTTGAATTTATTTTATCTCTATATTTTGAACTTATTTATGCTTACTTATAATTCGAACTTATTTATTCTCTCTATATTTATACTTGCAGCTTATGCACAGTAAATTAAACTTACAAATTTTCTTCCTTTTACTCTTTTTTTTTATCCTTTTTGTATTTATTGTGCTATACATGCATACATGAGTGAGTGAGATAGATAAAATAGATAGATAAAATAAATAAGATAGATAAGATAAATAAGATAGATAAGATAAATAAGATAGATAAGATAAATAAGATAAATAAGATAGATAAGATAAATAAGATAGATAAGATAAATAATATCGAGAGATAAGATATATGATAGATAAGATAGATAGATTTAATGATTAAGTTGTTACATTAGTTAAAACAGCATATTAAAGTATTTGGAGTGCAAAAGGTTGAACTATAAGTTTTCTTATCTATTGCAACGATGCTAACAGGCAATTTCGATTCATTTATCAAACCTATAACAAATTTATTAAGATTAGTGGATTCATAATTTAGATTATAAATTTGCTCACTTTGAAATTCCAGAAAGCTTTAATTTTTAAGATTAAAGAAAAGCAAAGAACACCCTTAAAACAATATTCCCAAACTTATTTTGTTTAAATGTTAGGTTTTATTTCCGGATATTTTTTTTTATGTCATTACATACTTCGATTAAAGGTAAAAATTTTCAAACCTTTTCATGCACTTTAATTAATTTTTTTTTAAAAACTCAAACTTGCATTTTTCCTGTGAATGTTCCATATGAACTGAATTATAACATTCTGTTTTTGCATCGTTATCATCGATGTCGACGTTGACAAACTAAATAATTAATCTCTGTTATCTACTATTTGCATTGTTTTATGTAAATGAGTTTTTTTTTATCTGTTTACAAAATCGTATCTAATATTAAAGCAGCAAGTAATTTAAAGTAAGCCTGCAATTAAATGTCAGTAAAAAATTGCCATTCAATTGTGATATCAAAACTTTTTGCCTCAACTGCCTACTATTAATGTTTAAGCAAATTAAAATAAGTGAAAGAGTTAAAAGCTTCTTGTTTCAACTCTTGGTTAGTGTTATAACGTGGATGCAATGTTAGCCAATGAAATCATTAATAAACAGCTAATTATATGTTGGCCGATAAGTAACGTTGATATTTGGACATGTTTCAGCCTGGAAACGCATCTGTTAAAGCATAAACATTTTTTAATTAATATTTTTTTCTAATTTTTTTCTTAAAATATATATATATATATAAGTTCAAAATGAGGATAAAACAAAGGAAAATTATAGACATATGCAAAAGGGGGGGGGTGAAATAATAATGAAAAAAATAAGAAACGACTGATTTAAAAAGGAAAATGATGAAATATTTTTTTTAAAAAACCGGAAAATAAAAGATATAATCTTTTTATCAGCCCACACGATTATATCTGCAAAAAATAGTGCTTTCTGATATTGTATCAATATAGCCAAAGCAAAATACAATAGTGTGAGGAGCACTCAAAATTTTTTTTTACAAAAATTACAACAAATAAAATAGAACACAATAAGTAAAAATAACACGTAAAAACAAATAATAAAATAAAATAAAAAGAAAAAAAAACAGTATTAAACAAAACAAAAACTATAATGCGAGTAGCGATATCAGATGTACTTACATAAACGGGAAATTTTTCAAGAATGATTTAAAAATATCTTCGCAACAAGATTGCCAGATTACAAAATATGAAAACTAAAGCGCAAATTGAGTGTAACTAGAGGTTTTTAAAGTGCCGTTCTTTCTGCATTGCTGAAGTGATTTGCTATGCTGTGCATTGATTTGTTAGTTACCAAGGATGGGCCCGAAATGGATGTGCGCAAGGTAATATTATACTGGATAATTTAAATAGTTGAACATAAATAATATTAGAAAATAAATACTCATTTAAGAAAAAATAAAAAAGAGAAACATAAATTGCATGTTTTGCAATTAATTTTAGCCACGGATTTGCCCGAAATGGATTTGCACATGGAAAAATTATATAAATTATCAAAGAAAAAAATATTTGTAGATAATTTTAACACGGAATTGCCCGAAATGGATTTGCACATGGAAAAATTAATACAGAAATTTTTAGTAAATAATTTTAGCCACGGATTTGCCGGAATGGATTTGCACATGGAAAGGTTATAAAAATTAACAAAGAAAAAATTTTTAGTAGGTAATTTTAGCCACGGATTGGCCCGAAATGGATTTGCACATGGAAAAATTATATAAATTAACAAAGGAAATTTATAAAGGATGATTATAATTTAAGTTACGATTTCAAAAACCGATAATCTTTAAACTACTCGTCAGAATGACTTGATGTTTTAGCAGAACAATCGTGTGGCAATGGAATTTTGTTACGCGGAGCAAAAAATAGTTCCAATTGATGGCACTGTCAGGAGAAAGACCAAAAATGTATTCTTTACACACGGGAATGTTGTTAGCCAAAAGGAAGTAATAGAGTTCAGGGGCTTACTAAAAATTTAATAGCGAAAACACAAATATACGTGTTTACAGCTACAACAGTGATAATCCAAAGAAAAAAAGGAATGAAGAGTTTCACGGGACAAACATCTGATTATTAAGGCGTAAGTTGTGTCCTCCGCTTTATTTTGCTACTAATTGGAAGCGTAGAACGGCATGCTCCACATTAGATCAGAGGATATATGTCCTGATGCAATAAATGCGGTGTGTGATGCTTGCCTTCAAGTCGGCTAGATTCTCAATCCACCCGCTGTAAGCAAGATATTTCGTAATGGTTGTCCAGAGTGTTTATCTTGTCCTTAACTTTTTTCTATCAATTACTTCATCTGTAATGTATTTAAGTTTGTGTATACCTTATTGTTCAGAAACTTAACGTCCCAGAATTAATCAAAATTTTTTATTTCTTTCAGTTTAAAAAATTTGCTACTGACTACGAAAAACGTCGTTCCAAAAGAAGAAGTAAGCGATCTATTAACTATGCAGCAATAGAAAACCAGGATGATTCAGAAGACATTGAAAAGGAACCTGGAATGAAACTGAAAAAGGGAACCAGACAATCTAAACGTGTAAAAGAAGAAGACAATGTCACCTTTGAGCCTAGAAAGGCCCTTTCACCCATTCATAGCAACTCCTATGTTCTAGGCTCTTCATTTCGCAACAATACCTATCAAGAGTTAGGCCTCAGAAAAGATATGATTACAATATCACACGATAACATACGCTCTTCTAGATGCCTCAAGAATTCTATTGCAAATCCGAAGAGAATCCCACTTCCAAATCAACCAGAGGAGATACCTATACCAAGAAAGCGAGGAAGACCGAAACGACAAAGTGGGAATCAAAACCCTTCTACCTCACAAGCCTTCAATTCTTATCAAGGATTTGAAGACAAATCGGACATTAAAATCAATCTAACTGATCTACCATCACCAGCAAGAGCAACAGGACAATATGTTAATGGAAGCAGCAGACAAAATGGAACTCAGCAGCCAGGGCCAACAAGCAGTCAAAAATATTGGAATCAGATTTTAGTGAAAGATGACAAATTTCTAAATGTTACGGAAACCGACAAAGTTATAAATGACATTAAATTGAATGAAATGAATTTGGACATAGCAGCATCTCTCTCATACGCGCAAGATAATGATGGTAAGATATTCATCAGTAGTCCTAGTGATAAAGTTTTTTTAAAGTTAGATGGCTCTGAGGATCTGTTTGAAATTAAAATAAATGGTGGCAGGATATACGTTCCTATATATCAGAAAAATGGCATGGTTAACAGTTCTATTCCGAATGAAAACGAATTTCCTTTTGGCCAACCTCAAATTTTGAATAACATGATGAGTAATTTCCATAATTACAGCAAAGCACCAGCAATCAGCAAGCCTTCTACTGGTACATCCTACAGCAACCTTAATTCCATCCCTGATTCCGTTAATGCTGAAAATAATCAAGCAGCTCTGAATGACTACCCAGTCATCGCTGTTTCTCCTTATGCAAGTAATTTTAGGATGCCGAGTTCGAGTTATCATCATCAGTCCATTGAACCGATTTCAAATTTGAACCAAATGGCTTCGTATCCAATTTCAAGATGTTCCAGTACAACTTCTGTAAACCAATTTAAATCTAACAATTTTGATGGTAGTTCTTTTGTGAGGGACATAGAATCGCCTTATTCAAGCAATCCATACACGTATGAGCAGTCCCAGCAGGCTATGATTCGAAATCTTTCTGCAACACCCATTAAGCTGGAGCCGTTTGACGAAAATCCGAACCCTTTCGAAGCATTGATGGGCATAAATTGCAACAAAACTTCTCCTGATATACTCCACGTGACGGAAGGAGATAGATTTGGAAAATTATACCCTGAAACTTGCACCAGTACTCCCGAGAATCATCACAGTAACAGCTGGATAAACAGTTCTCCTATATATGGATATTCTGATCGACAAACTTTGAATAATTACGTGCTTGGGAAGAATACAAATTCCTATAATATAGCATCAACTTCAAAAAGTCAACCGTTTCGGATGCAGAACACACCCAGAACATCGGTTCAAAGTTTTGCTCGTACAAACTGCAATGAACAGTTAACCAATACTTATACAGACATCCAAAATTCTTCTAACGGGGCAAATAATAACAGAAATCAATTTGAAAGGATTTGTGGAAACAGTTCGAATTTCTATAACATAAACTCAAGCTGCCAGCCTGTTGTTTCAGAACCATCCCCTAAGTCTCTTTTGTATCCTGATCATCAACGCCATAAATCAGAGAGCCCCAATGAAACTCGGGTTCTTTTTGACGATCAGACTTTTGATTTGTGTGAAGAAGTGTGTTTTCTTGAAGAGAAATATGCAACAGGAAATGTAGAATCGACATATGAAGGATTATCTGTTAAAACTGCTGATGAACAGCTGATTTCTGGAGAAGAACACAAAGAGACTGGAGGCTCAGCTGAAGCATTATCGTTTGCACTAATATCAATGTCTATTCAAGACCATTTGATAGCATCAGCATCTAATTCCACTTTCAAATTGCAATCTGAAACATCTGAAGAACAATCCAATCTGCCTGAAAAGAAATTCAGTCTTCCTAGCGAACAATCGAGTTTGCTTGAAGAACAATCTTGCTTGCCTGACGAACAATCCAATACGTCTAACGAAAAATTGAGTGCGTCGGAAGAGAATTCCATTTTGCCCAAGGAGAAACTCGCACTCGAAGATAAACCAAATCGAATCAAAAATGGAGACACGTGCATTGGACAAACAGTTTTGATGACCAAGTGCCCTGAAAATGCTCCTGTGGATGAAACTGACTTTAAAAAATGTTCAGTGGACTCGAAAGATGATGTAGCTGGTGAAAAAGTTTCAGCTGATATAAATAGAGATGAACATCCATCTGATAACTTACAAGAAACCGTTGCTCAAACTGAAGGTGACTTTGCAATGGGATTAGTACAAGATCGGAACAATACCACAGAATCATCAACATTTTTCAATTGCAAAATGCTATCAGCAAAAGCTTTTCCACAATTTCGTTCGTCTGAAAAGCGAGCTGGAATTGTTAAAATTGAGTCAGATTTGGAGGAAAAGAAGGGCATTCAACAAATTTCTATGAAGAACAAGAGCGATGAAATCGAAGTCGATCAACTAACATCTATGAAGAACAAAAGTATTGATAACGAAGGCAATCAACAATTATCTTTAAAGGAAAAAAACACAGAAAATGAATCTACACTTGAAAACGATCCTCGTAAAGCTATAGTAAATTTTCTGCTTGATCAAATAAAACAAAATGTAAATTTTCAGTGGAAAATTGTAAATGGAAAATTCATAGTAGATGGATGCAAATTTGAAGCATGTGACGATGTTGAAGCATGGATAAAAACAACTTATAAATAAGCATATAAATGATTTTCCAAATTGTAAGCTAAAGACGTACTATTTTTATATTGTAATCGTTAAATATTTAAAATATTTAATTGTATTATTTACTAGCTTTATTAATAACTGGTAAAAAATATCAATTTCTTATTACTTTAAAAAAAAAGCAACTTACGAATAAAAATGGAAATACTTTGTACAACTTAAAACTTAGGAATATTTAGAATATATAATTGCAATTTTTTACCAATGATAATTACTTATTTGTGAAATATTACAGTTCTTTTACATTCAGAATTAGAAACTGCTCAAATTTGAGCTCTCTTAAATAAGTACTCTTATTGTAATTTTTACTAATAAGTACTCATAAGTACTCTTAATTTGCATTAAGAGTACTTATTTTACATTATAACGACAATTCATTTAGAAACATTATAACGACATAAGCATTATTTACATAATATATTATATAAACATTATTTACATTATAACGACAATTCATTAGAAAGTATATTATTGTAATTTTTTTCTATCTTCATTGATAATTTATAAAGTTAATGAAATGAATTTTATGAAGGGGAATTATTTGCATAAATGTGATATAGAAACTTGAAATATTCATTTTACATTGTAAAAATAAATGATCTAAAATATTTTATAGTAATTTTTAACATTAAGTATTAAAAATATCGATATATTGTAAGTAAATTATAAGTAAAATAAGAGTTATGAAAGTAAATTATAAATTTAAAAAAAATAAATAATTAAGTAATAAATATATGAAATATCAATAAATTATTGATGAAAGTAATAAACATAAATTAAGAATAAAATAAAAGTAAATTATGNTTAACATTAAGTATTAAAAATATCGATATATTGTAAGTAAATTATAAATTTAAAAAAAATAAATAATTAAGCTATAAATATATGAAATATCAATAAATTATTGATGAAAGTAATAAACATAAATTAAGAATAAAATAAAAGTAAATTATGTATAAAAGTAAGTTATAAATATAAGCAATATAAGTTAATTATAAATAAAAGTAAATTATAAATAAAATAAAAATAATACTAGTAAATTATGAATAAAAATAAAATCCGGTATCATTTTATATTATTTTATCCAATATCATTTTAGGTTTATAAATAAGACCTAAAATGATAAGATTCACTGTTTGCTATAATCCCAATATGTTGAGACTGATTCTGTGTTGAAACATAACACAATTATAACAATATTTTGTTGTAACTAACTTATAATTCGTAATAATAGAACCTATTTGGTAAAAATATTGGTTTTTAAATATGTAATATTTTAAAATATTTGAATTTTCCTTTATTCCATTATTAGTTTTTAAAACACAATAATTTTTAAATGAATTAATTATATAGTTTAATATATTTTAAAAATATATCTATTGCAACAAATGAAAATTTTATCTATGAAAGTATTTAAATATGCGAAACATATTTCAATAAAAATATATTCTTGGAATATTTATGCAAAACAATTTAATTGTTTTAAAACATTTTTAACGTATTAAAATAGTAGCAATAAATGTGCATTTATTTCATTAAGTATTTGCATTGTTTATAGGTATTTATATTTTACATGAAAATAATGATAAGTATAAATTTGCATTAAGAGTACACAAAAATTTAAAATTTTTTCTAATTAATTTTAAAAATTCATTTTTAATTTAACTTAAATTTTTTTTAAATACTATTTTATTGAATATTTTAAAACATTTTAAGATCATTTATAGGGTTCTATAACAAAGGAAAATTTTTAGGAAAACCAATTGATTCATTTTTTAAGTGTCGACATGATTTTTCGACACCTCTTTCGTTCCTTAGTTTTTTTCTGTGTGCTGTATGTTAACTGTATTTGCAAATTTAAGTTGACGCTAGTGGTAAATTTCAACTTGGATATAAGAAAAAAAATTACATTTTTTATTATGTTAATAATTTTAATACCCTTTTATACCCTTGAAATTTGTTAATCAGTGTGCCCAAATTATATTATTGTTATATTCTTTTAAAATACATTTGAATGTAATCAAAAACTTTTCATGCAATAGCAAAGCAGAGATCTTGTTTTTGTAATAAATTTTTATTTAGTTTCTATTTTTATTTTTGAAACTTGAAAATTGTATTTGACCATTTTATTCTTGTACTTGATATGATTGAAATAAACATAGAGGAAAGCAATTTCTATGTCTGTATACTTTATTCATCTAGAAATATTTCTGCTGTATACATGCCTGCAAAAATGCAAGGGTATCATTTCTGCAGACTCATTATTTTAGTATACCGATGAAACAAAAAGCAATATCAACTTGAAAAATTTTTTATGCAAAAATTGCTTTTATGGATATTATTTACAGGAATATGATTCAAATTTTAGAAATGGTACTTTTTCTAAGTATATATGGCACGATTTAAATCTTACGGAAGCATCAAAGGAGAGGAGGGGATAAATATGTGTTTCTTATTAAATTACTAAAAATTTGTGTCTAGGTAGCATATATGGCAGTACTTTTACTTTCGTTACTTGTACCGCCGGTACAAGTAAAAAGTACGTACTTTTACTTGTACTTCGTTACTTTNATATTAATTACTAGCCGCCTAAGTAATAAATTTTTAATTAGTTTTTATTTTTGAAACTTGAAAATTGTATTTGACCATTTTATTCTTGTAATTGATATGATTGAAATAAACATATAGGAAAGCAATTTCTATGTCTGTATACTTTTTTCATCTAGAAATATTTTAATTGTATACATGTCTGTAAAAATGCAAGGGTATCATTTCTGCGAACTCATTATTGTAGTATACCGATGAAACAAAAAGCAATATTAACTTGGAAAAATTTTTATGCAAAAATTGCTTTTATGGCTATTATTTATAGGAATATGATTCAAATTTTAGAAATGGTACTTTTTCTAAGTATATATGGCACGGTTTAAATGCTACGGAAGCATCAAAGGACCTCTCCTTTGATGCTTCCGTAATATTTAAATCGTGGAGGGGATAAATATGTGTTTCTTATTAAATTACTAAAAATTTGTGTCTAGGTAGTACTTAATAGTAACCAAATACAGTAAATGGACGCAGTTTAATACTCGTAATACACCCAGACATATACACCCTTGTGCAAATTAATTGAAACAAAATTTTTTTTCGTGTTTTTTAAAGAAGATGTTTAGGGATTGTTTCGGTTACAATGGGGTTGGACCTTTGCAGCCAATTGACGGTATGATGCGTTCTGAGCAGTACATTACTATTCTGGGTAAAAAAAGTTGTTCCAGAGTTGAAGAAACGACACCCTGATGGAACAGGGATTTTTCAACAGGATTTAGCTCCTAGCCATACGTCCAAAATGGTTAAGAAATTCATGTCTGAGAATCAAATCGAGACATTGGAATGGCCAGGGAACTCTCCGGATATCAACCCAATTGAGAATCTCTGGGCCATATGCAAGAATCGCCTATTAAATATGGACTGTAAAACTATGGAGAAGCTAATAGCGGCGTTAATTCATGTGTGGTACAAGGACACAAATATTATAAATGACTGTAAAAAATTAGTGGAATCCATGCCGAATCGTGTCCAAATGATAATAAAGTGTCGTGGAGATCATATTATGTACTAAAATTTTTCGAGTTTATATAAATTTAAATAAAATAGCATTTTTTCTTAGTTTTCTGAATTTATTGAGTTTGTTTCCATTAATTTTCTCAAGGGTGTATATATAGCGCCGATTATCAAATTTTCCGGATCGTTCACGGATCATGCATTTTTCCGACATTCTTAGAAAAAAAAGAAGAAAAATTACCCAAGTTCTTTATTAGCAGAATATTTAAAAGCGGTCGAAAATTGCTTCCTTTTGTCGATGAACTTGAAAAGAACCTCCATATTTTCTGGCCAATTTCAATGTGGATGGCAAATAGTTTCTAAAAAACGAGCAGGTTTCTAATAAATTAAACTTTTAAACACGCTATTTTTAATAATCAATTATTAATCCCAAGCCTGGAAAAAACTTGAAAAGAAGTTACTTAAAAACTTTCTCATTTTTTTCATCATTCTCATTTTAAGTTGTCCAATTATCGGGATTTTCCGTTATCTGGATAATCGGCGCTCAACTCCTCCACTGTATATTATATATTTGTGTGTGTGTGTTGAGTGCTAGTTAAATAAATATTATGAAATATTATTTATTTTACAATTACTTTAAATATTAAAAGAAAAATGTTCAGATATTAATTTTTTTTTCAATAAGACATATTTGCTTATAATATGCGTAAAATTAAATTGATTTCCGTTAATGAGGTACTTATGGACAATCCCTTTGTTTCCTTGTGTCTGACGTTCGAGCTCGAAATCAAGTTGCAAATCTGCTTTCACAATCAGTTTTAAAATGCTCGAAACTATTTAAAATAAAAATATTGTTTTAAATTTATTCAATAGATGGCGTCACTGTGATGAGAAAGAAACTTATGTAGTTGCTGACTTTGACAGTGAGATCTGAGTTCCTTACTCTGGGGAGTTATCTACTCCTTCATCTGTGATAATAATATTAAAGGGGAGGTACTTATGCAATTAATAATCATCCTTTAATATCAATATTTTTTTTTTACTGGAAAAAAAGAAAATCGATCTTTTTTTATTATTTTTCTATTTTAAATACAGCATACTAAAATCATAAATAAAATTTGTTGTGTCAGCAAACAAATGTCATTTTCATTCCATATAGCCTACTACCTCTGTTGATAATGTATCAATCATTCAAACGATTCTCCAGGTGCAAGATCAACCCACAACCTCTCTATAGACATATAGGGTAAACCAACCAGTGAAGGAACACTACCCAGTAGAGGAACATTTCATACATATTGATTAAAAATAAGAATTTTAAAGTTTTTCTTTAGATTGATTGGTAACAATAGCTTACTGCCAAGCAATAGGAAGTCATCTAGCAATGTTTTGGATTACCTGGTCAAATAGACTTCTCTGGAAAATTTTTTGAATCTGTTATTATCTCTGCAACACCTTGTTTCTTTGAAAAATTATTAAGTGAGTGTTTGTATTTATATGTTTGAAGTGGAATTAATTGCATGTAATATTTTTATTTCTCTCACTGTGAAAAAGAGAATTGAAAATATAGTTATTGAAGTTACGTTTATTTTTTTAGGCATCATAGCATTATAAAGTACCGAGATAAGGGGGTGTTTATTCACTGGATCACCAAACGATGAAAAACCAGTGAAAGAACAAGTGTTCCTTTACAGGTTTTTTTTCTAAGTTAATGAAAATAAAAGATAAACTTTAATTTTCTTGTACCTTTAATGATGTTCCGCATCAAAAGTATATAAAAAAAATACGAAAAACAACTTCTAACCAGTGAGGGAACAGGCATATTCCTTTACTGGCATAGATTTCCCAGTGAATGAAC